AGTGTGTACCTCAGACCTCTTTGTCAGAAATCAGTTGTCCATAAGTCTGGGTCTTCAATTCAACTTTATTGATCAACATGTTTGTCTCTGTATCAGTACCATGCTGTTTTTATTACTATAGCTGTGTAGTACAACTTGAAATGCTGACATCTCCAGATGCTCTTTTATTATTCAAGATTGTTTTAGCAATCATGGGTTTTTTAAATCAACCAATTAATTAATTTTTTGAAGCATGATCACAGTTTCCCTCCCTCCTCTTCTCCCAGCCCCTCCTCCCAACTTCTCCCCCTTCCCCATGCAATCTCTCTCTCTCTCTCTTTCCTTCAGAAAAGTGCAGGCCTTCCTTGTATATCAGACAACCATGGGATATCAAGTTGAAGCAAGACTAGGCACCTCCTCTCCTATTAAGGCTGGATGAGCCAACCCAGCAGGTGGAAAGGGTCCTAAGAGCTGGCTACAGAGTCAAAGACAGCCCTTACTCCCTCTGCCAGGGGTCCCACTAGAAGACCAAGCCACACAACTGCAACACATGTGCAGAGGACCCAGGGCAGTCCCATGGCTATCTTGGGTGTATTTTGTGATTCCATATGAGGTTGGAAATTATCCTTTCCAGATCTATGAAACATTGCATTGAAATTTTAGTGAAAGTTGCACTGAATCTATAGATTCCTTTTCATAGCATGGTCATTTTTACTATGTTAATCTACTGGTCCATGATCTTTCTATCTTCTGATATGTCCTTCAATTTTTTTTCTGATGGCTTGAAGTTTTTATCATACAAGCCTTTCACTTAGTTGATTAGAGTTACCTGAAGATATTTTATGTTATTTGAGGCTATTGAGAAATATATTTCCCTGATTTCTTTCTCTATCCATTTATCCTTTGTATTCAGGTGGGCAACGGGTTTTTGTGAATTGATTTTATATCCAGCTACTTTGCTGAAAGTGTTTATCATCTGTAGGAGTTCAAGTTCAGATTTTTTTCTGGTCATTTATTCATACTGTCATGTCATCTGCAAATACAAGTACTTTGGCTCCTTCCTTTTGAATATCTCTCCTTGATTTCCTTCAGTTGTCTTATTGCTCTAGCTTATAATTCAAGGACTACATTAAACATGTAGGAAGATAGTCAACAACCATGTCTTGTTTCTGATGTTACTGGAATTGCTTTGATTTTCTCTCCATTTGACATTGGCTATGTACTTGCTATGAACTTCCTTTATTATTTTGACATGTGTTCCTCAGGACTTTTATACTGAAGGGGTATTGGATTTTGTTAAAGTTTTTTCTAAATCTAATGAGATGATTGTAAGGATTTTTCCTTGTTTTAGTTTATATGCTATATTACATTTATTGGTTTAAATATGTTGAACCAACCCTGGGATGAAACCTACTTGATCATAGTGAATGACCTTTTTGATGTATTCTTAGATTTGGTGTGCATTTAATTTATTGAGAATTTTTACATCTGTATTCATGAGAAGAAAATAGTTTGTAATTCTCTTTCTTTGTTGGATCTTTAGATGTTTTGGGTCACAGGTAACTGTGACTACAGAAAAATGTAATGGGCAATGTTCCTTCTGTTTCTATTTTGTGAAATAATTTGAAGAGAATTGCTACTACCTCTTCTTGAAGGTCTGATAGAATTCTGCTCTAAATACATAAGGTCCTGGCCTTCTTTTGGTTGGAAGGCTTTTAACAGCTGCTTCTATTTCACTAGGAGTTATAGTTCTATTTAAATTACTTATTAGACCTTGATGTAACTTTGGTAAGAAGTACATATTGAGAAAAATTAGTTTTTCCAACTTTGTGGAGTACAAGTTTTTAAAGTATATTCTTATGATTCTCTACGTTTATTGGTGTCTATTGTTATGTACTACTTTTCATTTCTAGTTTGTTAATTTGGCTATATTTTCTCTGTCTTTTAGTTGTTTGGATTAGGGTTTGTCAATATTTTTTATTTTCTCAAGAACCAACTTTTTGTTTAGTTAATTCTTTGTAATTTTTATCTATTTTATTGATTTCATGTGGTCTATTGTGGAAAAATTCCCATGATGTACTGGGGCTCTCAAGGGACCCAATCTATACCCCTCTATCTTACACAGGCTGAGTGTTCTCTTTGGCAAGCAAAGTTGTACCTAATTGTCCCCATTGTCTTTAGAATCATGTGAGGAGGTAGGATGGTTCCTATGGCTGTCACTTAAGCATGGAGAAATGGGAGCAGTTTTATACTGGCCAAAATGCACTCAGTGTAAACTGTGAGATTTTCAGTGCCCACACACTCAGTTGGGGGTGTCGAAATTTTTCTTCTCCCTTACAGGAAGAATGAGCCAGTCCCTATCTGCTTACTGCTTGTACCGTTTCTGTCCAACATGTCTGGATATGAGCAGATAGACCTAGATGCTCTGGTTACTACGTGGGAGATAAACAAAAGGGAAGAGGGGATTCTGACTTTTACTGAATAGTGGTTTGTGTAGAAAGAGGGCCAATGGGTATAGAGTACAAAGGCCTTACTACTCTGAACCAATTACCACTTCTCCATGATGCTATGACCTTAAAGCCTGCAAAGCAAATTAGAAACCACTGATTATGAAATTTCTTGAGATTATTGTGGGCATCACGGTATAAATTAATAATTGTAAGTGAGGAATTAACTTTTGGAGCATCCTAACTCATTCCCTCAACTTGAATGGCCTCAGGTCTTCAGGGACATTCCTGAGTTTGGTGTCCTGGTGATAGAGGAGGCTATGAAAGGCTTGAAGATCCCCTGGCCCTCCAACTACTGTTGCAAAAAATAATTGCAGAATTTACATTTCTGATCCCTGCCCTGCAAGAAGCATAAGTCCAGGTGTGGAAAATGTCTTGAGGAAGGAGAGGATCAGGTTGCACACTTTTACACCTCAAAAGCTACTGTGGGTTAGAATTCAAGCTCCTTCCACCCCAGCCTGGGCGCTCTCCTGCTGTACTCAACTCAACTGCGCATACCAATAAGAATAGAGGCAGATAGGAAAGTCTTGTGTTATTATTTTGAGAAAGGGCTTCAATATGTTGAACTATTTGTCCTAAAATTCACTTCACAGCCCAGAATGACATGAAACACGGTACAGTCCTCCTGTTTAGGGACTTGAGATTATAGGGGTTTGGAACTACTCCCTGGCCTGGGAAAACTGGTACCCAGTCCTTCTGTCATTTGCTATTTTAAACCAAAAGAACATCATCATCAAAGTGAAGATTCTTGCAATGCCCTCTCCCAACACCAGGAGACAGAAGAGGTATGAGAATACTGTTTTGCCTGGACTCTACTAGGCAGAGAAAAGAGCCTTTCTTTGAGTACAGATGTGCTGTGCCTGTTACTTCCACAGGAAACTGAAGGCATTACTGAGCTCCTGCTGTACACACACCTCTGTGAAGTTTGCATTTCTGATGATGTACAGGACTTCACATACACTATGACACTATGTAACCCTCTTACCATTGGAAAGCTTTATTGTATTTACCTTTGACGAGTATAACTTGGTAAATTTGCATAAGAGGATAAAATAAGTAATAACTCAAAATTCAAAGATAAGAATAATTCTTCTATTGGGCAATTTAGCTCATGGTCCTTTATGTAAATCATTGCCTGGTCTCTGCTCCCTAGCAACCCTTTGACTGCTTTCTCGTGAACATTTGAAAACTCCTTAAAACTTAAAAACATCAGGGCCCTGGCCATCCTATCATGGAAAAGGAATAATTTGTGATTGGTCCTGCTACTAGGTACAAGTTATTCAAGGGTGTTGTCTCTTGGTTAACAGTGTCATTCCACATATGCAGGTAACATATTTTATCCACTCTCCATTTGATGCACACCTGACCTGACCAAATTTTGACCTTTAAATCAAGCTCTTATAAGCATCTCAAACATAGGATTTTGAGATAAATATTTTTCTATTAGGCTAAAGATCTGAGAGCAGAGTTGCGTGTTTGATTTTTAATAAAAATGTCAAACTGTTTTTCTTTGACTGTATCGGTTTGCATCTCCTCCAGACATGTATGAGGGTGTCAGTGACTTCATATCTTTGTGACCACTTGGCCTAATGGCTCCTAAGTCTTATTTTATTGAATATTGTGAATGAGTGTCTCATTGCATGTGTTTTAAGGCAATTTGAGCCTCTGTGTCCCCCTCTCACTAGTTCCTGTACTCATTCCCAATTAAGTATTTGTTAAGTGGAGGCCAGGAGGTGACTCATTGGGTAGAGAAACTTTCTAGAAGCCAGAGAACATGAGATGGATCCTCATAGTAAGAGGAGATATCTGACTGGCAGGAGTTGTGTTCACATGTGTGCCATGGCATTCAAACATAAATGTAAACACTAACAGAATATACAAATGCATAGGAAAACCTGTAACTGTATCTAAGTAGAAAAAGAACTATGAAGTTGATCCCAGATGGAGCTGACTGTAAGTGAAACAGACTATGGATGTGGCCTAAATAGGAGCTCTGACTTAAAAAGTGCCAGAATTACAGTAGTTCAATAAAACAGCCACAACCTTTACAGAGGGGTCCATATAGATCCGAAGATCTCGGTAATGGTCATACTTTGACCACTCCACATCTGGGTCATCTTCAGTATTTGCCTACTCAGAGAAGCCCTCCTGGCTTTTCCTATTACAGCCTTCTGTTCTCTGACCTCGACAACATTGACATCTGACCAATGAGAATAAGGACAGAAATCATGGCTTGAATTGATTTAAGTTTGCATACAGGACTCCTGGTATCACAGGGGGACTTCAGATACCATTTACCCCTTTCTAGGAGGCCAAAGAGCAGGAGCAAGGATTGCTTTGCCTGCTGGCAGGCCTGCAGCTCTTTGACAATGAGAACTTTGCCCCACCCTGCTGAGTTACTGCCTACTTTATTTTAGGTCCAAATTCCTGCTTACAAAAGTCCCATATAATTTGTTTCCTGTGCATGACACACAGCCATCCTGCAGCAACACAGACTCAGACTAGGAGCCGACCATGACACTGCAAAGCCTTCCTGGCTGGCTGAATGCTGTTACCTGTGGACTCCTGCTTCTCTTCCTGCATGTGCAAGGTGAGAACCTTAAGTGACCATGAGGACCAGTGTCTGAGCTGCCCAGTTCTAGAGAATCGGCAGTTGATCTTGCCAAAGGGAAGGAACCATCAAGGGAGGAGCGGTAAAGGTGGCAGATAAAAGGGTGGGAGTTGTGGACTCCCAAGGTCCATACCACAGCCCATAGATTGAGCCCTGTTGTAAACAGAGGGTTAAAGATGCCTAAGGATACCCCATACCCAAAATGTCACTCCAGTGTAAGGAGGTCTGAGCAACATTGGACCTGCATATTAGGCAAAGAGAACAAAAGGTCATTTCACTCCTCTGTGTGTGACTAGAGCTGCTACAGAACTCTGGATAATAATCAAAACAATGCATTCATGCTGCAAATTGCCTCTGAGAATAAATCCTTGTTGGCCAGAGATGTGCATAGGCACCAGGCAAAAGGAGCTTGAGCAGTGTTCCTGCACACGGGTGGGGGGGGGATAAAGAAACTTCTTCTCCCACATCCCACAGCTGAACCCAGAAACCCCAGATTCCCTTCCCCATGACCCCTAGTGACAATGAGGTGGGAAACAACAGTGTGGTGGCAGCAGCCTAGACAGAACCAACCCTGATGGCATCTCTCCACACATAGGCCAGGACTCAGCCAGTCCCATCAGGAACACACGCACAGGCCAGGTTAGAGGAAGCCTTGTCCGAGTGAAAAACACTGAAGTTGATGTCCACACTTTCCTGGGAATTCCCTTTGCCAAGCCACCTGTAGGACCACTGCGCTTTGCACCCCCTGAGTCCCCTGAGCCATGGAGTGGTGTGAGAGATGGGACCTCCTATCCAGCCATGTAAGTCATGGGACCCAGAGATGAGGATGTGCTCTGCGCTCTGGGCCAGAATGAGGGTCTCTCTTCATCCCAACCACATGGAAGATTTCTGCATGTAGTCTGCCACGCATTTATGGTACCTGACTAAGTGTAATGATATGTATTTATGATTTATTAAAGCATAACTGAGGATTCAAAAAAGCAAATTCATCCTAAGCTATAGAGATCAGGCAGTGGTGTCACACACCTTTAATCCCTGCAGCCAGAAGCTAGGATGTTGTGGTACACACCTTTAATCTTAGACTCAGGATTAAGAAGGTAGACTTTTCTCTTTGAGTTCAACACCACCCAGGGATACTCAAGACTGGATCAATCTAAAAGAAGAAGAGATCATGTACCTTTAATCCCAGCACTAGAGGGGTGTAAAAGATAAAGACAGGGTCTCAAGTGTTCAGTAGGAGGCATTCAGTTTCCATCCATGCTGATGAGAGGATACAGCATGAGGCTTGGTGAGAGCTCATGGAGACAGAATCAGTCCATTCAGCCTGAAGTAGAGGTGAGAAGCTAGTGGCCAGTTGCTTTGATTTTCTGATATTCAGCTTGAAGTTTGAACCCCAATATCAGTCTCAGAGTCCTTTTATCAATTTGTGATACAGCTAAGGCTTCTAACACAGCAACTTTGCCAGTCTCCTGGGTCAGAAATCAGTTCCTATGGGGAGTTATCTCTCACTTTTGCAGGGAGAAACAGATAAAAAAGCTTCCCAGATTCAGATTGTGCCAAGTGATCTCTGCCACCATGAAAAAAGTCTATGGACAAAGGTCAATATAAGCATATTAATCAGCAAAAGCCCAGGGTCTAGTGTCATGTGCTTTGAGTCTCTTAGGAGGGCGTCAGTGATGTGTCCTTGGCAACTCCATCCTCTACACTCATTGAGAAAATCCATAGAGCCAAGTACCATTATTCAAAGGAATGGATAAAAGTTTCCCCCTAATATTACATGGGAAGTCAAGCTACCCTAAGTTTCTAGACATAGGGTGAAGAGCATCCCACTACTCTTGGGACATTGTTGTCCACAGACTTCCATAGTTCCTGGGTAGGCATAGTATCACATTATCCAGGTAGCTTCATTTTATTTCTTGGTGCTGTGGTAAAATACCTGGTAAAATCAATTTAATGCAGAAACAGTTTATTATGGGTCACAGTTCCATACTACCATTCATTACAAGGAGAAACTTTAAGGGACTGGATCATATCACATCTTTAACTGGGATCAGAGATCAAAGAATGCATCCACATTTGCTAATGGTAAGTTGGCCTTCTCTGCTTAGACAGTTCAGAAACCCCTTCCTAGGGAATGGTGCCACTCACATTTGGAAATATCCCAACCTCTATTAACATAACCACAAAATCCTCAAAGACTATGCTGATCCAGACTGGTTCAGACTGTATCCCCCAGGAGGTCAATGTTGTTTCCAGTAGAGTATAGAGAGAAGTGACTGTCACTATGTGGAGGAAGTTATTCTCATTGAGGCCCCTAGAGTTCTCTAGATCCCAGGCTCAGAAATAATGAAATATATGCCCTCACCCATGTACCTGCTCGTTTGGAAATCTGGCTCCATCCCATCTTTCAATGACACTGTAGCATATACCTTGGTAAGAAAGCGCTTTAGAGAGAATCACTCTTTAGCAGGATATCTTGGAGGAAAGTGGCCAAAAGTAGCTGAAAGAAAATCCACATTAAACCCTATTTTTAACCACAAAACATGTCTTTGATAACTGTCTGCCATTGTCACCAGGTGTCTACAAAATGATGGCATGATGAATTCTGAGGCACTGAAGATGATGAAATTCATCATGCCTCCCATTGCAATATCTGAGGACTGCCTGTATCTCAACATCTACACACCAACCCATGCCCATGAGGGTTCTAACCTGCCTGTGAGAGTTGGGCCCATGTTCAAGTGGGTGGATGTGGAGATTTCTGTCTTGGGATGATTATAAAGAATAAAATCAACAGAGCTCCACTGCAGTGTAGACCCCAATGAGAAGCATTTCCCTTCTATGTTCTCAAAATCCTTCTCAGTCATGGTGAGCAGCTAAACGCTGGATATGGGACACTGAACACTGGAGCTCTGAGAGGTCAGGGCTGAGGTTAATGGACTAACTCAGGATTTTCCCAACAAACTTGATCCATAGAGACCCAGGCAGGTGTCCGAGGGATGAACATTGAAATAAGCCAAATTTCCAACTTTGGAAAATGGGTGGGACCAGTGAGATTTGGTGATGCTTTTGATTCATAATAAGGAAAAAAAACTCTTATGGAGACATCCTTTTCCAAACTATCGAGGAGTCTGAAAGGTTTAGTGACATTACTCTGGACTTAAATCCATTAATCCAAACTAAGATTCCTGGTGCAACAGTGGAGCTAGATACCTTGTTGATAAGACTGTATTCCTCCTCTGTGGCCTGGGTCTAAGATATAGGATTCCTGTGTGTGTTTAGCTGCATAGATAGACAGCAGTCAATAATCTAGGAGGCAGTCCCACTTGAGCTTGTGCCAGATAGAAGCCTCCTGGCATCTCTCTTGACTTCGTTAGGTGATAGTGTGGATACATGGAGGTGCTCTGGTTGTAGGCCTGGCCTCCATGTATGATGGATCCATGCTGGCAGCCATTGAGGATGTGGTGGTGGTCACTATCCAGTACCGTCTGGGTGTCCTAGGATTTTTCAGGTGAGACTGGGACTAGGCAGGGGAGTCCTAGTGAGAAGAACTTAGGGAGCCCTTTGATCCATGTCCCTTCCACTTTTCAGCACTGGAGACGAGCATGCCAGAGGCAACTGGGGCTATCTGGACCAAGTGGCTGCCCTACGCTGGGTCCAGCAGAATATCGCCCACTTTGGAGGCAACCCTGACCGGGTCACAATTTTCGGCGAATCAGCAGGTGGCACAAGTGTGTCTTCACATGTTGTGTCCCCCATGTCCCAAGGACTCTTCCATGGAGCCATCATGGAGAGTGGAGTAGCGGTGCTGCCTGATCTCATCTCCAGCTCCTCAGAGATGGTTTACACGGTGAGTGTACTCGAACCCTCCAACCCTGACCTACCATTTTAGCACTTACTCTCTAGTACACAGCTACCATGTTCAGTAGAAAGAAATGAGAACCATGGAAAGTAACTTCTCTTCAGTAATTTCTTAAAGACTCAAGGTTTAGAACCTTCACCTCCCACCCCATCCCACAGTGTTTAATACAAGGTACATATGTTACATGTTCAGCAAAGCTGTACATAGCAACTTCCATCTTGGCAAAAACAAGTATGTATGGGTTTGGGAGGTGGTACAAGAGGCGTGAGTTTTCTGTGCCAGTGTGAGGATTTTAGTTCAATTCCCCCCAGAACACACATATGTCTGGGCATGGTGTTTCTTGTGTTATTTCAGGTGTTCCTATGGTGAGATGGGAGGCAGGGACAGGGAAATCCCTGGAAGGTTAGAGACAAGCTAGACTGGTGTAGGCTGCAGCAGAACAAAACAGTATTCTCAAACGGGGTGGAAGGCCAGAGGGTGTGGGAGGGAAGAAAGAAGAAGAAAGGGGGAGGAGGGAGTGAAAAAGGAGGGAAGGAGAGCTGAGACCACTGAGCAACAGGAAATGGGAACAATTTTGTTCCAATCCCATCCACATAAATTACACAGCAGAGTATAATGTTTAGAACCAATGACACCCTCTTGGGACTGGGAAAACAACTTCTCTGCCTGGAAGACAACGCATCCAGGCAGCCTCCATCCTCTTCCCTTTACAGATAGTGGCCAATCTATCTGATTGTGGAGCTGTGAACACAGAGACCCTGGTGAGCTGTCTACGAGGCAAGAGTGAAGCAGAGATTCTGGATATTAACAAGGTTTGCTAAATTGTGTGGCTGGGAAGATGACAGATTGCAAGATGTGTTACAGGAGGTCCTTATTAGTAGGAACAAATCACATAATATACATGGCTTAGCATCCTTTTTGTCCTGGGTGTAAAATCAACACCAAGAGAGGCCATTCTATGTGTAAGTTCTCTGCAGGGGTGAGATGGGAGAGGTGTGGTGGAGAATAACCATCCTGAGACAAATAAGGAAATGGAGAAGGGGTGGAAGTAGCTCAGTGGACATCAGCAAATGTATTTTGTGACCTTCAGCATTGACTTTGCATGTCCCTCAGGTCTTCAAGATCATTCCTGCTGTGGTGGATGGGGAGTTTCTACCAAAGCATCCTCTGGAGCTGTTGGCCTCTGCTGATTTTCACCCTGTTCCCAGCATCATTGGTGTCAACAATGATGAATATGGATGGCTTCTCCCTATGGTGAGGCTCAGTTCTAATCTTCAGGGAGCCTGGGGACTCAAATAGTGGACAAAGGGAACTCAGATTCATTGATCCATATCCATGGCATGGCATACTTAAAACCATTCTCCATAGATCATGGGCTCTGCTCAGAAAATCAAAGAAATAACCAAAGAGACCCTGCCTGCTATAATGAAGAGCACAGCAGCACAGATGGTGAGAATCTCGGGACACTGCCACAACTTCAAGAAACCCTGTCTAAATTTCACAAGAAACATCCCCAGAAATGTGTGTGTGTGTGTGTGTGTGTGTGTGTGTTGCTGTGTGTGTGTGTTGTTGTTGTTGTTGTTGTTGTTGTTGTGTGTGTGTGTGTGCACCTATCTATCCTAGTTTTCCCCCATACCATACCTCTTTTACATTTCCTCACCCTGAAGCTATTGCCTACTTTTTCCATCGACTATGTCACCTAATTCTTCTGATTCCCTTGGTGTAGAATTTGCCTCCTGAGTGTAGTGACCTGCTAATGGAAGAGTACATGGGGGACACTGAGGATCCCCAAACACTCCAAATACAGTTCACTGAGATGATGGGAGATTTCATGTTTGTGATCCCTGCACTCAAAGTAGCACATTTTCAGCGTGAGTATGCCTGTAATGGGGTCAAGAGGGCATGCTCAGAGCTGTGGGTCACAGATGAGCTCTGCAGTGTCCAGGCCTGACCTGTGTCTGGATCAGATCTCTGGTTCTGAGAGTCTTTTTTATTATTTTATTCTCTCATATATTACCTCCCAACAACAGTTTCCCCTCCCTTCTCTCCTCCAAGTTCCTCTACCCCTCCCCTCACCCACTCCTGTTTCCCTTCAGAAAAGGGCAGAGGTCCTGGGGATATCAGCCAAACATAGCTTATCAAGTTGCAGTAAGACTAGCCACCTCCCCTCATATTAAGGCTGGGTAAGGTAACAAGAGTCAGAGACAGTCCCTGCTCCGTCGGTTAGGAGTTCCACAACAGCACAACTATGACATATATGCAAAGGGCCTAGGATGGACCCATGCAGGCCCCCTGACAGTTGGTTCACAACTGAGAGTCTTTATCTAGTAAATCCTTATATTGAGTGTGAGAGAGTGACATATTATCCAGGTACAGATGAGAAAATATCTGAGTGGTATCTGGGACTTGACCAAACTACTCACTGTGGAGGGCAGAGTCATTATTTAGCACGGTCTCCATGCTGGAGCTCCACACTCAAGTGTTGTGACACCAGATAACTTGAGACCAAGTTATCTTGTCACAAAATGTGTGTCAGGGAGTTCCAGGCAAAGGTCTGCCATATCACCACATGTCCTCACCTCCAGGCTCCCATGCTCCTGTCTTCTTCTATGAGTTCCAACATCGGCCCAGCTTCCTAAAGGATATCAAACCTCCCCACGTGAAGGCTGACCACGGAGATGACTTTTTCTTCATCTTTGGCAACCTATTATTTGGAGTAAAATGTGAGTCTTCATGGATTTCCTTGAGCTGGTTGGGGTCCATTATGGAAACCTGAATGATAGCTGCGCTCTTAATCCAGTTGAGGGAACCAAATCCTTGGAGAAAGACAGAACCCAGTGTGCACCCTCTCACAACTCAAAACCTACTTTATAGTCTACCTTGTATTAGTGGGAATAAGAAAATAATGGAACAGGAATGGAAATGGATGAATTCACTTAGAGGCTTAAATCATTGGTTGGGGAAGGGAGGGAACCAGTCCAGTAGTTCAAAATCAAATGGTGGCTGGGGTGGTATGAAGCACACGTGGGCAGCTGCAGGAAGTCACTGGGAGCTAGACACCTGTCCTTCTCTCTTCAGTTGCTTCCACTGAGGAGGAGGAGCTACTCAGCAGAAAGATGATGAAATACTGGGCCAACTTTGCACGGCATGGGTGAGGGAATGCCCTTCCCCCAAATTCTGCAAGGGTGGGACACTATCCAGGACTCTCTTTGTGTATGGAGGCCTTTTGAGCACGTGTGGTCTTTCAGTACATGATAGAGTCTTCCCTACCCCAGAGAACATTTTGGCAAGCAGATTACCATAGAGCCAGCAGTCCCCTCTACACCCCAACAAGGCACATTTAGATAGATAATTTATATATGTTTCTTACTGGTCATCTTTCGGTGACTAGTCGCATGGATACAGTACTGTGGTGATGTTCTTTAGATCTTGGCTTTGAGAAGTAGGCCTAAAACAGGCCATGTGAGGCAGTAATCTTGCCCCACATGGAGCAGAAACTTGTAGGTCACATTCATATGCCTATATCAGGACATATGGCCCATCAGTCCCCTCAACACTCTGACCTTTGTTCACTGTCCTGAAACCAATTTGGGATGAACTGACATTCACCCTCCCTGTTGGTGGCATATCAACAGGAACCCGAACAGCGAGGGTCTACCCTACTGGCCCATGTTGGACCATGATGAGCAGTATCTGCAGCTGAACATTCACCCTGCTGTGGGCAGAGCCCTGAAGGCCAGAAGGCTGCAGTTCTGGACCAAGACTCTGCCCCAGAAGATCCAGGAGCTAAAGGGGACTCAGGAGAGGCACAAAGAGCTATAGTGCCCGTGTGAGGAAAGGCATGGGGGCTTCGTGGAGGGTGGGTTCTGTCTGAGTTTTGGAAAGTCTTTTGATGCTAACATTCACATAACCATTTGGTAAATACATGGCCATGCATTTTAGCACTTTGTATGACAAACCCTCTACATGTCAGTCCTTCACAAACACTGCCAATCTGCTCTTACATGCTCTCAATAAAAGCTCTTGTAACAATGTGGAATGTGGATGTGTGAGCCCCAAAGTCCCACAGTCTTCACAAGTTCAGGCTGCTGTTCCAAATAGATCACTGACTACTAGCAGGTCTTGTGATATATAGCTATGGCCCCGGCTACTCAGAAACTGAGATGGGAATATAGCATGAGCCTAGGAATTCCAGACCAGCTTGAACAACACAGCAAAACCCGTATCTCCAAAACAGAAACAATCATCAACTGAATAATTTGTAAACAGCAAAATGTATGTAAAATTCTGTGGAATGAGAAATACAGGGTCAGAAAATAAATTTGAGCCAATCCAGCTCTCAGAGGTCAGCTACTAGACCTCTCTGACATCAGCCACTGAGCCTGCAACTATCAAAATTTCTGGGCAGATTATCCCTATATAGGAAATCTCATCCATTTCCCTCCTAAATTGAAACTGTCAACTTTTGTAGAGAGCTGGACTTGATATGTTCACAGACATCTAAGGCTGGGCCACAAGAAATGTGGGCTGAGTTTCTCAGAGCAGATGCTAGCCTTGAATGAAGGAAGGCACCAGGGAGAGAGGACACCCTGAAGATGGTAGACAAGAGTGAAGGAATTGTGTGTCTACCAATGCCCCCACCAAGCCAGTGAGCCCTGTAGCATACAGAGGGTCATAGATGCCTAAGGACACCCCATACTCAAAATGTCACTCCAGTGTAAGGAGGTCTCAGCAACACCGAACCTGCAGATTAGGGGGAAAAGAGCAAAATGGACATTTCCTCCTCCTGTGTGTGAATGTTGCTGCTACAGAACTATGGATAGTAATGAAAATAATGAATTCATGCTGCAAATTGCCTCTAAGAATAAATCCTTGTTGGCCAGAGATGTGCATAGCCACCAGGCAAAAGGAGCATGAACAGTGTTCCTGCACACGGGTAGGGGAGGGGGATAAAGAAACTCCTTCTCTCACATCCCACAGCTGAACCCAGAAACCCCAGATTCCCTTCCCCATGACCCCTAGTGACAATGAGATGTGAAACAACAGTGTGGTGGCAGCTGCCTGGACAGAAGCAACCCTGATGGCATCTCCCCATACACAGGCCTCAGCCAGCCCCATCAGGAACACACACACAGGCCAGGGTAGAGGAAGCCTTTTCCATGTGAAAATCACTGAAGTTGACGTCCACACATTCCTGGGAACTCCCTTTGCCAAGCCACCTGTGGGACAACTACACTTTGCACCCCCCTGAGCCCCCTGTGCAATGGAGTGGTGTGAGAGATGGGACCTCCCACCCAGCCGTGTAGTTCTGGGACCCAGAGGTAAGGATGTGCTTTGAGCTCTGGGCCATATGAGGTGATTCCTTCATCCTAACCACATGGAAGTTTTCTGTCTGTGATGTTTAGTCTACCAGGCATTTTCAGATTCATGGCTAAGGCTTCTAGCAGAACACTTTTGCCAGTCTCCTGGGTCAGAGATCAGTTCCTGTATAGAGTCATATCTTGGTTTTATAGTGAGAAGCAGATATAAACTGCTCTCAGACTGTGCCAAGTGACCTTGGCATTATGGGAGAGGTCTATGAACAAGGGTTAGTGTTGACATAGAATAAGGAAGAACCCAGACTCACGTATCTTATCCTGTAAGTCTCTCAAGAGGGCCAAAATGATGTGTCTTTGGGAACTCCATCCTCTACCATCACTGAGACAATCCACAGAGCAACGTGCCATTGTTCAAGAAAACCAATAAGCTTCTTTTGAATATTATGTGGGATGAAGAAGTACCCTGTGGGTTAGCATTGTCCACTGACTCCCATAATAGAGGTGTAGGCATAGTACTATATTACCCACATAGCTTTATTTTGTTTCTTGTTGCTGTGATAAAATATATTGGTAAAATGAACTTCTTGGAGAAATGACTTGTTATAGGTCACAGTTTCTGAACATTCCCTCACAGGAGGCAACTCACAGTGGTAGAAGCTTAGGAGATTTGGTCACATCACATCTATAATTGAAAATTTAGAGCAAAGAATGTTGGATGCCTGCTAATGCTCAGCTCACCATCTCTGCTCACACAGCTCAGAAGCCCCTTTCTAGGGCACCAATCATGGGGAAACCTTCCCGCCTCAATTAATGTGGTCAAGATAATCCCCTAAGGAGGAGTGATGAGCAAAGGAGTCAAGACCATGCTAGAGAAACCCACAGAAACAGCTGACCTGAACAAGGGGGAGCTCATGGACCCCAGAGTGATAGCTAGGAAGTCAGCATAGGATCGATCCAGACCCCCTGAACGTGGGTGTCAGTAAGGAGGCCTGGCCACTCTATGGGGCCTCTAGTAGTAGATCAGTATTTATCCCTAGTATGGACTTTGGGAGCAAATTCCACATAGAGGGATACTCTCTCAGCCTAGACACATGGGGAAGGGTCTAAGCCCTGCTCCAAATGATATGACAGACTTTGAAGATCCAACATGGAAAGCTTCATTCTCCCTGGGGAGCAGAAAGGGGATGGGATATGGAGTTGGTGAGGGGCAGGGGAGGAGAAGAGGGAGAGGGAACTGGGATTGACATGTAAAACAAGCTTGTTTCTAATTTAAATTTTAAAAGACACACACCAGCACAAAAAGTTAATCCCCTGAGACCTACTGGGTCTAGACAATCCCTCACTGAGACTCTCTTCTCAGTGATTCTATATTATGCCAAGCCAACAATCAAAAGTAGCATTAAATACTATAGGGAGAAGCGGTAAATGTCAGTACACACAGCCAATCATGTTCACAAACAACCTAAAAAATCCCAACCTCATAAAGTGTTCCACCCAAACCCCACACAACTGGAGACCTTACTGCAAGTATGTGTCCTTCACAGCTTCCACAGAGCCCGTGGCATTTATCTTGGTAGGAATCTGATTCAGACAGGGAGCATGTGGTAAAAGATATCATGAGAAACAGGCATGGAGGGTAACAAGAAGGAAATCCAGACTAAGGATCTGGTTTTTTACACTGAACATCCCTTTGGGTCACCATCTGCCATTCTCACCCGGTATCTGAAAAATGATACAGTGAATGCAGGGGATCTGAAGATGAAGCTGATCACAATTTCCATCTCCATGTCTGAGGACTGCCTGTATCTCAACATCTACATACCAGCTACTGCCCATGAGGGCTCTGACATGCCTGTGAGTGAGTGTCAGCTCATGGTCCATGGGGAAGATTGCTTTAACAGGGGGATTAGAAAGCACAAAATCAACCTGAACTCTACTGCAGTGTAGCTGGCAAGTCATCGTTTTCAAGTGTGTCCAAGAAAGCCTTCTCAATCACTGTACTTTCTCACCAGGCAGCGAAACCCTGGGTATAGGACACTGAACACAGGATCTCTGAGGAGTCAAAGATGGTGGTCCATTCATTAACTCTGGTCTCTCCCAACAAACTGGATCCCTAGACACCCAGGCAGGTGTCTGAGTAATGAGCATTGAGCTAAGCCAAATTTCCAGCTTTGGGATATTGGTTCTACCAATGATATTTGGTGATATTTTTGGTTGGTAATAAGAAGAGAAACTCTTATGGAGATTCCCTTTTCCATGCTTTTGAGGAGTCTGGGGGTGATAGTCACATTTCTCTGGATTTAAATCCATTAATTCAAACTGAGATTCCTGCTGCAGCAGTGGAGCTTGGAAATGAGCTGATGAGAGACTCTGTTCTTCATCTGCGGCCTGGGTCTAAGAAGATGAAGAGCTCTGTGTGTGTTTGTGTGTTTGTGTGTGTGTGTGTGTTTAGCTGCACACATAGAACACCATCAATAATCTAGGAGGCAGTCCCACTTGAGCTTGTGCCAGATAGAAGCCTCCTGGCATCTCTCTTGACTTCTTTAGGTGATGGTGTGGATACATGGCGGTGCTCTGGTTGTAGGTCTGGCCTCCATGTATGATGGATCCATGCTGGCAGCCATTGAGGATGTGGTGGTAGTCACTATCCAGTACCATCTGGGTGTCCTAGGATTTTTCAGGTGAGACTGGGACTAGGCAGGGCAGTCCTAGTGAGAAGAACTTAGGGAGCCCTTTGATCCATGTCCCTTCCACTTTTCAGCACTGGAGATGAGCATGCCAGAGGCAACTGGGGCTACCTGGACCAAGTAGCTGCCCTACTCTGGGTCCAGCAGAATATCGCCCACTTTGGAGGCAAACCTGACTGTGTCACCATTTTTGGTGAGTCAGAAGGTGGCACAAGTGTGTCTTCACATGTTGTGTCCCCCATGTCTAAAGGACTCTTTCATGGTGCCATCATGGAGAGTGGAGTAGCGGTGCTGCCTGGTCTCAACTCCAGCTCCTCTGAGAGGGTTTACACAGTGAGTGCCCCCAAACACCTCAGCCCTGTATCTATTGGCAAAGCACTATCCTCTGGACTATGGTGTTCAGTGGAGAAAACAAGGATCTAGGGAAAGGACATCTCTTTGTTTATATCTGAAAGACTCAAGGGTTAGAATCCACACTTCTGCTTTCTATAGGCTGAGCATGTTATGTGGACAGCAAAGCTGCCCTAGCAGCTTCAAGCACTGACAAAATTGAGTCTGCAAGGCCTGGGGAGATGGTTCAGTGGTTTTTTTTTTTTTTAAGTGCTCAGTGTGCAAGTAGAGGATCTATACTCAAATTTCCAGGACTCACAAAAGGTTGGGGATAGTAACATGTATCTGTAATTCCAATGTCCCTGTGGTCAGGCAGAAGGTAGAGACAAGAGAATCCCTGGATGTTCCCAGAGCAGCTCAGCTAGTACAGGTAGCAGCAAAACAGGAAGATAGCCTGTGAACAGTGAAGTCTGAGACTTTGTCCTCT